ATAAGCTGGTTGGAAATAGTGATATTGATAATTTTATTGATACTCCTACCATTTTCATACGGGAAAATATTACACAAAAATTGGTTGCACAGAAGCGTACTTATATAGGTGATATATTTTCCAATCCATATGCTAAACCTATTATAAAAAGTTTAGGTTTGTTAAGAATTGCATGTACTTGTTGTAAATTTTCTCTACTATTGCAATAAATGAAATAAGTTTTCCAATCTTTGTGACTTGCATAATAGATAGAACTTTTGCAGATATCAATAACGAGTTGTCACTAGATTTTTATTGTCTCTCTCACACGAAAAATCGTTCTAGCGCTTTAGTGACGAGTGGAATGAGACTTGAAGAATCACCAGGCACGAAATCGATGGTGATCTTTTCATTGCATGAGTTGTAAATAAGGATTAAATATTGAATTATATGTCGCCTTAATTCAATATTAAGATGAGTCTTAGGAAAGTGGAGCATGTAAATTATCAAAATTCCATGAAGCTTGCATATAATCAAATTTGGATTCTTAAAGATTCAAGTCAATCATTTTGTGAAATGACTTGACTGTGTTTTGTGTGATAATAATATAAAGCATACCAAAACCTAAGTGGGAGTTTTGCCATAGTATACATTATATACTTCATGACTGTAATGTGACTGAAAAAGGGTGTGATTGCATGGATCTCTTCTTCATCATAGTGCAGCCCTACGGATTAAAAGTCCAAAACTGTACTCTTTAAAACTTAGATCTATGTTGAGAAATTGAGAATTAGTGTTACTACTTTATGATATCATCTATTGATTAAGAGAATTACTGCGCTCCAACAGAATGTAACTAGGAATGTAGCCAAAACCTTGTGTATCAATATAAATGTTTAAGGGAAAATCATTTGATATCACATATATGATTTGAAATTCATAAGCTTGGCTGCTGGTTATGTAAACATTAGTTATTTAGGGTAACTAAAGTGCAAATACATGAGAGATTTTGCATGGCTCTAATTAGAGGGATCAGAGTGCAAAATTTGACTTGATTAAATTAATTTGAGGGATATCAAGAACTACTATGTTAGTTAAATGATGAGTTAATATAACAATTAATTCTCACTGACACTTTTTTTGTTTGGTCACACATTCCATTTTTCTAATATGATAGGAAAAATAAGTATTTTGAAATTAAAAGTATTGATGTTAAAGGTGTACGAGTGGGAGATGTTGATTTATGTTATGTAGTGCATCCTAGTGGACATACACATAGAATAATTATACACAATTAATATTTGTTATTAATTTATAATATTCTTAAAATAGGATAATTTCTCTCTCATTAGTTGAAAGGATTTGAAAATAAAAATCTCAGTAGTTCAGGCAAATATCTAATGAGAAAAAATATTTTATTAGTTGAGATAAATTGATTTAAAAAATAAACTTTATTTAATAGTTCTCATTTTAAATAAGTCGAGCATTACTCTTTTCTCCTAAAGGTGACATATAAAGAAAATTAAGGTTTTTCGATAGGTACCATTTCTAATCTTAGGGATTTGATGTAAATATTGTGGACGATTTTAGTAACTATTTTACAATAATAAGAAAGGTGAAGTACATATATTTGTGATGAGAAAGTATGTAAAGATTGTAAAACAAATATTTGATGACAATTGTAAGCGTTTAAAATTCACCTAAGGATCGTTTCCCTTTCACCATAATGTTTGCCAACATTTCTTATATTTTAATTTCTACTCATGATTAAGAATCAAGAAGGATAATGAAAAAAGAGAAAGAAAAGGAAAAGAGCACTAGCAGTGGGCATCAAACCCTTGAACAGTGTTAGATTTAATTATCTGGAAAAAGCTAAAAACTAGATTGCTTATCATGTAAAACTTAAACTAATAAATTTTAGTTTCTATTTCTATATGCTTTTAGTGCATACAGAAAACTAAACTTAAAATAGAAACAAAAGTAAATTACTACAAAATTAACATTTCCATAACAGTGTGATAATTCAATTAAATATGATAATTCCTCCCCTGCCCCCAACCAAAGCATTTTTGTCAAATAGGAGAAAATGATAGACCAAATTTACATGATCTAACAAAAACATGTATACCTATTAAAATGTGTAAATACGTTCTTCAATGTAAGAGTAAATCCTGCACAAGAAAATTGTCCATCGAATTGACATTCAAACCCTAATCCCAGATAACCCTTGTATTCCTTTTCACATCCTGAAAAACTCGTTTCATGTAATCTAAGAGTTACATCTGCATTGTATCCAATATTAGCCTCACCCCTGTTCTTGGATTTTTCTTTCCTTCTCTTCTTTTGAGCCAACACCTTGCATGTATTTGCTGTCTCGTGTGAATTCTAGGTAACTTTGATTTCTTGACTTTCTAGAACCCTACAAGCCCAAAGATGCCACACCCAATGGCTTCCAAGCAACTTCTGTGAACCTGAATTTCTAGACTTCTCTACAAAAATTTTGAATTTCAAGAGACACGGCCACCAATATTACCCACATGGTGTACATTTCTGATCAACCCTTCTGGTTGTACGGTTGTTAGAGTAAGAACAACAAAATTATTGAAAATAAATAAATAACTGTCCAGCAAAAATGCCAAAAAAAAACTAAATAAGTTCTGAATATTTAATTCATAAAATTCAACTACTATCCATAATAACTCCTATTTAATTGAAGATAACTTTACATTATCTCAATTTTTTATATGGCGTTATTCTGATTGATTGGTATATATCTTTTATTTTTGTAATATACATGAGATGAAATTACCATAGCCTTTATATTTTTAAGATATTTAAGAGTTGAAATTAAAGTAGTTTTTTTTTTTTTTTTTGGTCGTATATATCCTAAAGTAAAGGGAAAGGGATTAGGGGATTTATCTATCCTGAAGACGGGGTCGGAACAAGATTGAGGAAATGGGTGGGCCACCTCACTGAAATCGAGTTGTTTCCACTGGTCTACCAAGCAATTCCAGTTTCACTGCATACTGCATTCATCCGAAGCCCAAAATCTGCAGGCTTGAGCCCAATATTATGGGCAAAATAAATTGAAGCCCAAACTACGCCTAAACCACGGCTCGTTCCGTTAACAAATTAACCGACTGGACCCCGTTCTCGTAACAAAATCAGGCAAATTTACCGATTTAGACCTGGGCTACGTGCCGCATGGGAGAGACACTCAAAACCTGTTGTATAGGTCCAAATTCCAAAATCCAGCTCGTCTTGTTGACGCCCGTTGAACTGTTCAATCCTCTCTTCGCCCAATATCTATCTCCAAGGTATTATCTCGTAATTTGTACCTAACGAAATGCATAGACAACAAATGTTTTGTAAGCAGGTTGGCTTGGCTTTGTTTAACCAATAATTAGCTTTAATTTAAACAAATTGATTGTCGTTACGGTCAATGTGCGATCATCTTGCTATTGATTGTTCTAGGTTTGATTCGTTTAATTCGGAATTTCAAATTTGGCCTGCGATTTTTGGAGGTTGTGTAGAGAAATAAACATCGATGAAAGGTGAATTACAGCTGGAGCCAACGCAGGAACGAACCCCCAGTGACTCCGATCCTCTGCTTCAGAATCAACATGTGGATTCACCATCTTCATCATCACCATCTTCAGCGAGTTCTGGTGAGATAAAGAGCGAGGATACTGAATCAGGTCAGATTGCCTGTTGTCGCATTTGCCTTGAATGTGACGGAGAGGAAGGTCAGAGTTTGATCTCAATTTCATTCTGATTTTTAATATATATATATATATATATATATATATATTTTACTTTCGTTTTGGACAAAACTGGATAGTATTTACCATCATCATGAAAATTATGGTGGTCTGTTATTTTACTTTCGTTTTGGACAAAACTGTATAGTATTTACCATCATCGTGAAAATTATGGTGGTCTGTTCTGAGTTTATATATATATATATATATATATATATATATGTAGATCATCAATATATATTTAAGCTCATAATCGTATGTGTGCATGTATTTGTTGTCGCATTTTATAGATCGTAATTAATAATATCAAAGAATTTCTATTATAGGTTTTTCTCTTTCTTCCTATTCAGAATTATATAAAATGAAAGGTATGCTATTTGTGGAGACTTGAACTTGCAGGTTTTTGTTTCGTAGGTATGAATGTCTTAAAAATAGAGTGTGTGTGTGTGTGTGTGTGTGGTAATGAAGGAGGATGGGGAGGGTACTAAGGAGGGTCTTTTAGGACTTAGTTTACCTAGTGGTCGGTTCTTGGCCACCTTTGAGGACAGCTGCAATCTAAAGTTTATATTATGATGAAGACAGTTTACACAAGTGGATTGACATAAGTTTTTTTTTATGTTAAATTTGATTATCAATATTATTAAGTGGTTGACGAGGGGTCTTTAGGCAGCAAATAGAAAACAAAACAAAGAAAGGACTATCCATAATTCTGTGTTATAGTTATATGACATAGGAATTCATGTAGCAACCTCATATAGGATGATAACCTTGGTTGAGTGATTTATTTACCCAAAAATTACATGTATACGATTAGCATATGTTGGATTGTATCAGATATCAAAGTTCTAACCTGTTAACGTATGTACTACATCAATATTAATTCTTAATGGATGTTTATTAATTCTATTATGTGCACATGAACATGCCTACACCTGTTTTCTTTATTTTGTTGTTCTCTGGTCTTGTTCGTGATGTATGTGTGTTTGTGTCAGTGATGTTATTTTTCTATTATGTTAACTGTCCACCATTGGACTCATACATCAACCTTTCTGGCTTTTCTTGTTAATAATAGATGATGATGAATTGATATCTCCATGTATGTGCAAAGGCACTCAACAGTTTGTGCATCGTTCCTGCCTTGATCATTGGCGTTCAGTCAAGGCATGTAGTTTCATTGCCACATCTAGTAATAAATTTGATATGATTGCTTCAAATTCAAAAATATGTATGAAGTCACTGTGCATTAATTTTTGATTGTAGGAAGGATTTGCCTTTTCACATTGCACAACTTGCAAAGCTCAATATCATCTGCGAATTGTGGATTTTGAAGACAACTCCTGGCGTAAAGTAAAGTTCAGACTTTTCGTGGCAAGGGATGTTTTCCTTGTATTTTTGGCTGTCCAAACTGTGAGTAGAAATTTGTTCCTTTCTTTTCAAAAGTCTAAATTATTAGAAATGTCATCTTATTCTTGATTCATTTCATTACTGCATGATTTCAGTTTTACAAGTGATATTCTCTTTATAAATCATGAAAGATACTAATATCTTTTATGATGAAAGTTAACTTTATATTGTAGCTTTATGCATGCATGTGTAATTAGCAATGGGAACTGAAGTCGTAAAGGATGGATAGTAAACAAATTCATATTATTTAGGAGTCTAATGATGCATGTGTAATTAGCAATGAGAACTGCAGTCATAAAGGATGGATGGTAAACAAATTCATATTATTTAAGAGTCTAATGCCAAATATTAATATATGGGAAATCAACATATTTGAGACTTAGTATTGCATTTAATTGATCAACGGGTTACAATACATGCAGAAGCACCTTTGCAGGTGTTCATTCTATTTGACTAAACAAATCATCTTCTTACTATTTGGAGTTGGTTGTGTGTAACCTATGCTTTCATGTGATGCTAGGAAAAATTTTAATTTTAGTCAAAACCATGGTGGATCTTCTTTATTTATTATTTCAGTTAAATTCAAATTTGTCCTTGTCTCTAATTTCCCTTCTGGATATCCCCCATGCAGAAGTTTTAACCCTTCCTAGCTGCAGACTAATAAATATTTATGGTACCTGTATGTGTCTGAAACATCATAACTAAGTTTTCTCATTTATTCTCAATAAGTGCTGTTTATCTTCATTTGCAATATCTTATTTTTAATCTTTGTCTATCCTAATTTTATATCAATTTGCCTAAACTCATTTTGCTAAGTAGTTTCTTAACATTCATTCATTTTAGCTGTATTGTAAAATTCTTCTTTTAATTGAGAGAACTTGTTCCACTTAATCAGCCTATCTTCATTTAAGACTAAACTTGTGCCATTATTTTGGGATCAGTTTGTCATGTATGCATTCTTAGTCTTCATTGGCTTATTGAGCTTGGGCTCGAACAGGTCAATATTTGGCTGGAAATTTGGTGAGCATACTCCACATGGATTACATCTTGAAAAATAAAATTTGATTTGTTGCACAAGTGCAAGTTGTTAGTTTTCTCTCTCTTTTAATTATTTTTCAAAAATTTTTTATAAGTGTTCTATTCTATCTGCAAATGATCTAACAGCTAACCACATTTCATGTACTAAAGGTGATGTAACTGTCCATCAAAATCAAAATATGTAATTTGGTCCTTCATTGGTGCACTTGGAACGACCTTCCAAACATGGTTGATTTAGAGTATCATGATCAAAATTAATTCATCATATTTAAAATTTTAAGTTAACCTCTTTCATGCATGCAAAACTTAATGACACCATGGATGGAGCTTGAGTCCTACTGGTACATTTAGAAGAAGTTGAAAGGCATTATGGGCTCAGATGTGGTTTGTAATTTGGTTGGATTAAATTGTCTGGCATTTCATGCAATACCAGATTGTTATTTTGGCTCAAATGAAGGTTTTTACTTTTGGATTGATGTATGAATCAGGTGAGGTTGGTGCATCACTTCCTCACTGGGAATATGAATCTCAAGATTAGGGGCTTACTGTTGTTGTAAGATTTTCATTGTATGTTTTACATTCACTGGACTCCCCTTTTCTTCCTTATGCTATTGATATTGCTGAACAAACAAACTCAACAGTACAAGATATGCCACTCATCCCATCCTATCCAATCACATTTATCCAATATCTTTTAACCTTCAACTTATATTGCCACATCTAATCCCCTCTACTAGGAGGCATGGATGCTCCATTTGGTTTGACGTATCCATATCCAATACTTATAGGACACAAATGCATTGAGGACACACCAAAGACATGTATTGGACACATAACATTAGGTGTTTGGACATGCATCCCCTTAATACACATCTCCCTCTACTCGGATTCACATGTCTTAGCATATGTCTCATGTAATTTTATATCAAATAGGATATGCCCAACACTTGTACTTTGCAAATAATATGAAATTAAACATGTCTTTATATTTGGACTCCCAAGTCTTAGCGTATGTCTCATGTATTTTTATATCAAATAAGATATGCCCAGCACTAATATTTTGCAAAATAATATGAAATTGAACACATATATTACACACAATTGGGAAATAAAAGAGTGAAATAATTGTTCTGAATTTATATTGGTGTTTGGTTCATGTTGAGTGATGTTTATGTCTAAATGCATCACTTTTGGTTATTGGGTATTTATTTTATTTTTGTTTTTGATCTTAATATGTTTGAGTTATAAATAACGAATATAAATATTATGAGCTAATCTTTTAGCCATGTCTGTGTCCTAATCTTTTCAAAGTTGTCATGTTGGTTCTACGCTCTTGCTATTTGGCCCCTGAATCCTTGAATTTTCCTTCTATTAATGCAATTTCTCTGATCCCAAACCATGAAGTAACATGCTCCCATTAGATGATGTCATCTTTGTGCACTACATAACTTCCTAACGAACTCAATCTTGGTTTCCATGACACTTAACTCAATCTCTTCATTCTTTGCAACACTTACTAGCAGTTTGAACTGTGAGTTTATCATGAAGATGTTCCCACATGCATGACACGTATTGTATATTGTAGAGTTGTTTGCTTGTACTGGTCATTTGTCTTTGATTGTGATCAGTTTGTGTAAGTTGTCTTATTGTTGTACTTCCTCTCCTATATATTTCTCAGATTATGTCTGATCACTGTGATCTCTATAAAGGTGCTGTACTTCTGTTGTAATTATCTTTTTTGGATACTTGTTAGATTGTTAATAAATATAGATGGCTCTAGGAGGGGATGAAACTTTGAACTATTCGTTTTACTATAGTTTGAATGCAATATATTATTAAGGCCCAAGTTTGAGTTTGAGAATTCTCTTTTTATCTCTCTCTCTCTCTCTCTCTCTCTCTGCTTTCTTATGATCATGGAGAATGCTTGTCATGGATGGAAATTGGAGTGTAAGAATTTATTAACTTTATTATATTCTTTATTTTGATTTTGGACATTAATTGGAATTTTTGTTGTTCTCATGCTTTTTATTTATTTATTTGTGTTTTCGTGAAGCTTAGGAATATATTTTGTTTAGGCAGTATATTTGTCTTATCTCATAATGGCCAGAGTTTTCAATGAATATGATATTTTAATTTACATCACAAGTTAGTCCACAAAACTATAATATTATTTTATAATGACATTTAAAGGTAGTTTATTACTTCTAAATCTTTATACATTAAAAACAGAGAGTGATTTCATTAATTTTAGGTGATTGTAGTCATTGGTGGCCCCTTATGGTGGGGCCATCCTGTTCACTCTCCTTTTCTCTCTCTTTTCTCCTTTCTTGTCTATTGTTATTCTAAATTTGGATTCAACATTGAATTCTCTTCTAAAGCTTCACAGAATGCTGAGTGAGATTGGATTTTGGCTTTTAGCACCTCTCCAAACCACAAGTTTGGATTCTAAGTCCAACCTCTCTCACCACTACCCAACCAGGGAAAGGAACAAAATGTTTCCTTCAGCCTCAGCCCAGAGGCCTAGTTTGCTGACTTTAAACTCCAAATATTATAACTCCAGCCTGTAACACATTGATCTAGAGTTTGAACCGTTATGGTAACTAGCACACAAATCCTTTCCGTCCATGCACATCTTCCAATTATTGAGCTCATTGTTCCTCAGTTTAGTGTTACAATGGTATAAAATATATGAGCTACCTTCTTATGCTTAGTGACTGAGCCTCTCTCTCTCTCTCTCTCTCTCTCTCTCTCTCTCTCTCTAAACTTCTTCTACCCATATCCTATTTGTGGAGAATTCTAAATGGAGTTTACATTTCCTAAAATTGTGAGATTGAGGAGTCTGAATTTTTAACACATGTTTGTATCATCCTACATTTGAATCCTTTCCTGACTCATTGCCCATTGAAACCATTTGGTAGAATATGCAGGTAGCTAACTTGGATGGTTTTCATTTTTAAGGAGCTAAGAAGCATGGGCAATAGGGCACACACGCATATGTCATGTCTTGCAACACGAGAAGTGTTACAATTTTTGAAAGAAAGATTATTGTGTTTAAACCCCGTAGGTTTATCAACAAGTATCCGTTGTTTTTTGGACAGTGTTCTGTGGGATTTCATTTCTAACCTAGAAGTCTAGGTTGTTTATTAGGCTCCTGAAAAGAGAACTATCTTGATTCAGAAATAACAGTAATCACAGGAAAGAGAAGCCGCATAAGATAATAAAATTAGTCTGAATTTCATTGTAATGGGGGGAAGAAATCCTTGTTTACAAGGTTGAAGGACTACAAAATGGAGGAATACTACTGTTAGAGGCTTTGGAATCCTTTACATATAATATTCCATCAAAGAGACGATATTGACAGATTTTTAAAGTTGTTGGATGCAAGGGCGAAGGCTTCTGTGAATTTGGAGTTGCAGAACAAATAAAGAATTGTGCCTATGCCTTTCCCTTTCTGTAAATTTTTTAAGTTCTTGGCAATTTCTGGTGCAACACATTCTTCCTGAGGTCTATGCATGTTTTCCTTTTGCTGACTTCACTGTTCAGAAGCTCAACATTGTACTTTTTGTGTGAGATATATACAGAGACACGGAGAAAAAGCAAGGTTTAAATGTCATAGAAAATGCCAGGATGGGACACAGTAAAAACAATACATGCATTTAGATATATTTTTATGAAGACATGATGTCATACCCAAATTTAAAAAACTAAATAAAATTTTTGCATGATTTTCTATTTTTTTTTCTCCATATGAACACCACCTTTTTTTTTTTTTTTCCGGGGGGGGGGGGGGGGGGGGGGTTATCTATTGACAGATTCTGATTTCAAATAAAAGTGCATGGGATTAAGCTGCTTGCTTTTCTAAAAGAGCCCAGAAAGCTCCTGAGCTGAGGCCAATACCACAAAAGACAAATGGAGGAGAGGGGAAGGTGGTATATTTAAATCATTTTTGCTTGTGGAGGGTTCTTTGTTTGTCAATAGGTCCTGGCCGTGTATGAGAAGCATCAATATGGATTTTCACATGTTGAAGGTGTTTGTGAAAAGAGGGGTAGCACAGATTAAGGCATGTCTGACATATGTTGGGTGTAGATATGCCCTCTTCAGATACATGTTGGTGACTTGTTGGTTAGGAGATGAACTAGTTTTATGTCTTCTGTTGTTTTTTTTCTTTTCTTTTTTTTTTAGTAATTTGAGAAAGAATAATAAAAAGGTAGAATGCCTTTCTAATGCATGAAATGCAATAGAATTGCCTTCTGCATTTTGGAAAGAGAGAAATGAACTCCAGAAAATCCAATTTTTGGAAAGGGAACTGCAAATATTGACCTATGTCTCAGGATATTTGCTTCAGATTATTCTGGTTTTCAGGTGTGATGAGGTGACCTTGGTCTCTGCCCTGTAATCTTAGAAAAATACTGATAATTTTTTATTATTGGATTTGAAGAGAATTAGCCTTTTGTAGGTAAGATGATACTTGGTACATGTGTGATGATACTTCATTTTCGAGCTGTTGTCTTACTTAATTGCCATGTAGTTTTGTGCACTGCTATTTTGTGCTCTATTATTTTGGAGGGCTGCTTCTATTACTAAAATGTAGGTGAATCACTTCATGCCTCTTTCTATTTTCAACATTATTTACAAATCCATCTCACACTATTAAAAGGGGATTCTGTTTTGCAGATAATTGCAGCAATGGGTGGGTTTGCATACCTTATGGACAAAGATGGCTCCTTCAGGGATTCATTTAATGATAGTTGGGATCGTATACTGTCAAAGCATCCAGTACCATTCTACTACTGCATAGGTGAACATCTATAGAACTATTTGGATCCAATTTCTGTCGAAGCATGCTGTTTTACCATTGCGCAAGTAAATCCCCTGATTCTATCAGCAATTAGGATGTGACGTATCTGGAAATACTTGCTAATTGTATATGATTTGTATAATGGTTTAATATTCTATAGCATGCTTTTGCTGTACTTTTGCATGCTAAAAATCAATTTTAAACTGTAATTTTATATAGAGGCAATCACTCTGGACTGCAGGTAGGACTGGCTGGCATAGTTGGCAGTTCGCCTCCCAAGGGTTATTATATTTTTCTTCAAGTCGGTTCTGTGCTTTTGCTGCTTCTATTGTTTGTAGATGACTAGTTTGTTTCACGATGTTGAAGGAAAAAAGTGTGGCAGAAGTTGAACAGGTAAGGAAAGAATTCTAAAGAGCCTCAGGGTTATAGTAGAGAAAAGTTAAAGATATTCCATGATAATCAACTTTACTTATGTAGCCACTGACAGAGCAATGTCTTTCAAATTGGTTCCAAAATTGGATACCCTGTCAAAGTTTTGATGGCTTGACAAAGATCACTGTCACTGGTTTGCTGTCTCTCTAATGGTGCATGCCTGTTTAATTGGTTTTGTTGTTAAAGATGTGAAGCTGATTGTTGTAGTTCCATAATTTGCAAAATGCTTATATACAGAATTTATTTTTTATTTTCTTCATTTATACAATTTAGGCCAAACAGAAAGGGGTTAGAAGAAAGGCCATGATATTAGTTACTGTCTTCTTATGACTAAATTAAGGCTTGTCATTGTACTCTCTATTGCTTGACGATGTCTGTTAACATGACCAGGAGTGCTGGCCTTCTTTGTGCTGCTTGGTTCTTTGGACTCATTCTACACTGCTCCTCCCTGAATAGTAGTGATCGCGGATGGCCGGTTGCCAGAACTGTTGTTATGGTGGGGCATGTTGGACTGCTTTCCTGCATCAATGGAAGTTTGCTTCGCTTTGGTTATTGTATTTGTTGTTGTTTTTGCCATACTTGGTATTGCTTATGGTTTCCTTGCTGCCACTATGGCTATTCAAAGAATCTGGCAGAGACACTACCACATTCTCACCAAGAGGGAACTAACGAAGGTATGGGTTTGTTCAACAACTTTTGACATGTAAGGTTACTATCATACTTCCAATATGTTAGTTTGTATTAAAGCCAGCACCCTGTAGACAACAGGAAGAATGAATTGTAGTATGCTTTTATTTATACTATATTAGAATTGTTCAATGGGTAATGGTAAAGCAACCTGAACATACTCAATTTGGGCCTTGCAACCTGCATGGATCCTGCAGCCATGAACTATTGTCTTGTTTAACAGATGTGCATGTTCATGCATTCTTTATTTAGTCAAGCTGATTTAGATATTTGAAGAACTGTCACTAGGTTGAGTGAAAGCCCAAAATTTTTCACCTTAAATAAGTTGGAGACTGGCCTATTTCCTTTCTGGAAACAGTAAAACCTCTCTGTTTTTCAGTTCCTCACCAAAACTTCGCAGTTCGGCTCTTCTTTGCCTCTGGCATGTGCGTTCACACACCTAGAATTCTTGGCCCATGCGCCTGCGCTTTCCCACACTCTCACACACACCTGGGCTCTGTCTCACGCATCTATTTACTCGGTCCACACGCTTGCACGTGCGCGAGCTTTGAGTCGTGCGTGTGTGGCGTGCTCTACATGTGCCTCACGCATTGAGTTTCCTCTGCACCCCCCCCCCCCATGTGCATGTCCCCTTTTTGCATTTGTCCATGCGTCATCTCCCTCTCTGGTTTGTTCGCCGGCCAGATCCGATCTACTAGCCACTCCAATTCCATCGAATAGACTCATATTCAAATGGGGAAAGAGGATAAGGAAGAAGTAAAAAGGAAGAAGGAAGAAGAACACAAATTGATTTATGGGAATCTTACCTCTTATTCCCAACCTTGCATAATCCTCAATGATTACAACAAGGAGTGTCACAGAAGCTCTCTCACTCTCTCATCCCTTAATGGCAGTGCTTGCTCAAGAACAATGAGCCTCGCCCCTATTTATAGAACACATACTTCAGCAAATTCAACCTAATCTACCGAAGATTGAACTCTATTTCCTTTACAATCGACATCCCTCAGCTGAGTATCCCTCACCCTAGGATCTGATCTGAGTTTTAAACCCTGGTTGGTACGAATCTGGGCCCAAATTTGTGCAATGTTCCTTCTAGTTTGAAACTGGCAAAAGCTCTCTCTAACTTGCAACATTCGAATTTCCCTGTGCTTATCTTCTTGGTCGATCTAGTCGCACCCAAGGTTCCCGAATACTTTGGTCCCATCTACAACTTTAGTCGACCGAACCATTGTCTCTATAGGTGCAATTTGCTTCAACAACCTTGGATCAAAGCTCCATTGGTGCCAATCTTGCCTTCCTCGACATTGCCAGCAACCGGCGAGGCTTTTAGAGCCTCCCTCTCCTCCATTGGACTCCTTGGAAGCCTTCTGCATAGCTAACCCAATTCATGTTTTGGGACACGATCCGGCTTGTTTGGTCATTTGGATTTGGTCCACCTGCATGTCTGGGGCTCGGTTCAGTGCAATTGTGCCTGCCCAATGACCCTTCATGCTGTTGGCCTGGTCCCTGCTTGACCCGGCCCATTGTGCTTCAGCCCTCTTTGGTCTAACCCAATTAGGCCCAATCTGTTCTTCAAGCCCAAACCTACCCTGCCTTGGCCCATCCAATTTTGACCTGACCCGACCTAACCCAACCATGTCCTTTGGCCCAATCATCTAGCCCTCTTGAGTTGGGCTGGTCCAAGTCCAAAGGGGCTAGCATTCTCCCCCACTTAAAACTCCAATCCCTCATTGAACAAGGAGCCTCACCTTGATGGCTCCCAACTCGTCTTACTCATGGTCACCTCATCCCCACCTTATGAGACACCTTCCCCATCTCACAGGATTGTCTCATCCTAGAACCTTCTCCCAGATCTCTTCCCTTGGCACGCTACTTGCCTAAGGAACTCAATGCCTTGCCTCGGAACTTACAACAAGTGGTCTTTCGTCGCCACAAAGCACATCACTATCTCACCAACAAAAATCTCCTTTCTTGCCTCTCTCATCTTCAACTTTTCAACCCCCTCAACTTGTACACCCCCCATACAAACATTGGGTGGCTCCTTCTCTGATGAACAACTCTACCAAGTGAGGCCACACGATTGTCTTGATTAGCACCAAGAACTCATTAACCAAGATCAGGTCCATAGCTATCAAGGGGGACAGCCATCAACTCGCACTACCTTGTCAATTCCAAACCTTCACCTCTATGTTGGTTACTCCCTTGATTGGTTCTATTCCGGAGGGTCACAGCCTTCACCTTGCTTGAACGTTTTGCGAGGCTCAACCCCCGCCTCTAAATCTCCTTGTCAGCAATAAAGTTGTGTGTCACGCTCGTATCCACCACAGCCAACTTCATCTTGCCGTTCACTGGGCCTCCATGTACATTTGGCCCCTCAAAGTGCGTGTCCCTTCACCTTGGATTGCACTCAACAACTGTAGAGAGTCCACCCTTGTCACATCTCCATCCTTGGCCTTTTCTGTCTAATTCTGTCATGATTGTCAAGATCTTGCCTCGCTTTGGACAATCCTGCATGCGATGATCACCATTGTAGACACAGCACCTTCGATTTTCCTTGTTAATAGCAAGTAAAGTCCTAGACCTTCTTTTCACTATAGAGGGCTATTTGTCCCACTTCTGCTTGTTGTTCTTATCGAACTCCTTCTTGCTTGGTTCCGAACTCCTCTTTGATTGGACTATCTCCCAAACTTCCTTAAAATCCATGAGACGATCAGCGGTGGCAATTGCAACTTGTAGATTCTTGATTCCCAAGCCTTAAGTCCGCCTAAGCCCACAGTTGAAGTCCGTCTAGAAAATGGAAGAGCTTGTCCTCCTCCGCATATTCTGGATGTCGAGCGTGATAGAATTGAACTCCTTCACGCATGCTCGCACTAAACTCTTGTGCTTCAACTGCTGCAATGATTTCCATGCTAACCAGCAAGTGTTGCAAGGGATCAATTGCTCCTTCAGCTCCTTTTCAACCCGTCCCATGTACTAATTTTTGGTCTGCTCGTCGCCTCGTCTTGCACTGTCTTCAACCTCCACCATAACTTCGCGTCACCCATCAAGTACGTTGTGGTAATGGAAACTTTCTACTTATCTGGATCTTCACAGCTACAAAGTACGTCTCCATATCCCACAGTAAGTTCTTTAGCTCTTTGGCACTCCGGTGCCCTCGAACTCCTTTGGTTCCGAAACAACTAGCTAGCCTATTTCCCTTCCAAAAATAGTAAGCCCTCACTATTTTTCAGTTCCTCACTAAAACGTGATGTTTCGACTCTTCTTTGCCTTCTTTGCCGCTGGCACAAGCCCTCAAATGCCTAGAATTCCTGGCCCACGTGCCTGCACTTTTCCCAACCACGCATGCGCGCTTGGGCTCTATCTCGCGCATTTGTTCACTAGGTCCACATGCCTCACGCACTCACACGTGTCTGGCTTGCTCTACATGCACCTCACGCGTTGAGCCTCCTCTACCCCCCCACGCGTGCTTCCCCTTGCTTCATGTGTGCGTCCCATGCGTTGTCTCTCTCTCTGTCTGCTCTGGTTTGTTTGCCAGCCGGATCTGATCTACTGGCCACTTGAATTCCACTGAAAAGACTCAGATTTGAATGGGGAAAGAGGATAGAGAAGAAGGAAGAAGAACACAAATCGATTTAGGGGAATCTTCCTCTTATTCCCAGCCTTGCTTAATCCTCAATGATTACAACAAGGAGTCTCTCAGAAGTTCTCTCACTCTCTCAGCTCTCAAATAGCAGATCTTGCTTAAGAACAATGAGCCTCACCCCTATTTATAGAACACATTAGGGCTTCGGGAGATTCAACCTAATCTATTGAAGATTGTACTCTATCTCCTTTACAATCAGCATCCCTCAGCCGAGTAACCCTCACCCCAGGATCTTATCTGAGTTTGAAACCCCTGGTTGGTATGAATTTGGCCTCTAATTTGCACAATGTTCCTTCTAGTATGAAACTGATTGAAGCTCTCTTGATCTTGTGACATCCGAATTTCTCTGAGCTTATCTTCTTGGCCAATCCAGTCACACTTGAGGTTCCCAAATACTTTGGTCCCATCTGCAACTTCAGTCAACCAAACCATCCTCACCCTATTTGTTCACCTCTTTGGGTGCAGTTTGCTTCAACAACCTTGGATCGAAGCTCCAATGGTGTCAATCTTGCCTTCCTCAGCGTTGTCCGTGGCCAGTGAGGCTCCCAAAGCCTCCCTCTCCTCCATCAGACTCCTCTGGAACCCCCTGCACAACTGACCTGAATTCCCTGAGCCGATTCATGTTTTGGGACTTGATCCGGCTTATTTGGTCATCCGGGTTGGTCCACCTAGGTCAGCCTGACAGGCAACCCAGACCTGCATATCTGGGGCTTGGCCCACTGCAATTGGGCTGGCCCAATGACCCTTCACACTGCTGGCCCAGTCCTTGCCTGACCGGCCCACTCTGCTTCATCCCTCTTTAGTCTAACCCAATCAAGCCCAATCCGTTCTTAAAGCCCAGACCTGCTCTGCCTTGGCCCATCTGATTTGACCCAACCCATCTCATCTCCTCTGGCCCTCTTGAGTTGGGTGATCCAAGCCCAAAGGGGCTAGCAAGAACCAAGTTGGGCCAAATGAAGATTATAACCCAACAAAATGGAAACTAGATTATTATATCAGCTGGTGTGTTGTTGACATGTTTATTTTATGATGGGGAAAAACTAATAATAACTTTATACTCAGTTTTGTTTTTACCGTGAGTAGTTTCCCTTTTCCTTTCTCATCTAAAAAATTTTAAATGTAATGTTAAAGATTGATATTTTGTTGATTTGATTCTGGAGCTTTGCCATTAATATTTTGATTAACATCATCTTGTTTACCTGACTTGCATGTCTGTGCATTCAGTTTATTTGGTCAAGCTAATTTAGATATTCAGAAAATTAGGCTGAGCCAGACTAAGATTAGGCCCCAACAGACTGGAAACTAAATTATTGTATTAGTTGGTGAGTTTATTGACATATTTGTTTTGACTTGGGTAAAAAGGAAAAAGGAATAATAACTTTATACTCAACATTTCATTTTACCATGAGTACTCTCCTTTTTCCTGTCTCATCTCAAAATTTTGAGTAGCATTAAGATTGATATTGTATTGATTTGAGTATGGAGCTTTGCTATGAATATTTTGAAAAGGTAAAGCAAAAAAGAATTTTTTGGGTGTTTAGTTTCGAGCCCCTTAAAAACTAATTACAGGATAATTGAAAATTCTGTGAATTTAGAAACCAGATCACTATTGAGAGTACATGAACCAAAGGAATAAAATGGTTCTGTTGGTTCAATTTTTCAGTCTAAATCCAAAAGTTCTCTCCGAGATTAATGTGGTCCACTCTAGGAATACTTTATGTGGTGGTCCCTTACATGTACCTTCTTCAAATTGCTGCAGGAATACATAGTAGAGGATCTGCATGGATGTTATGTTCCTCCAAAACTAGATTCAGAACATGAGGCACGATTGAAAATGCTTAAGCTCTTGTAATGAGGTTTGAAGAGGTGAAAGATGGCATCCAAAATTTGGTCTTGAGTTAATTGCAATTTATGTAGAAGATACTGTGAATATGTGCTATATATATGTAATATGCGTAGGAAGATGTTACCTGTAATTCATGTGTGGCTAAATGTTCCCTCAGGCATGAACACTTGGCAAATCTGGCAACAAATATGTTGAGGCAGTGGCAAATAACTCTTTGCTTTATATCTTTGCACATCTTAGTCATTAATCAGTTGATATTCAGTTGCTGATATTCACCATTCTAGGGATTATTAGAGGCAGAGAATCGGCAAGTAAAATCTGGGACTCTGGGAAAATTGATGGGTGAATTGTTTACCGGGCAGTTTACCTTGTCAATGGTGTTGGTATCCTTGTGGAACCGTTTCAATCAACATAGTTTTTGTGACTTCCAATTGTCAGTTGCCTTTCTATTTTGGATATTCTGCAAGTAGTGATGTAACACACGGTAAGTTTTTTAGGGAGATCTGACTGATTGGAAAGCTAGACGTGATGAATGATTCTGGTGGCATGGTGCAGGATGCGTTGCCAAACTTGGGAAAGTCTAAAACAGTTATAGTGGGAAGACCATTTTATGGATGTATCTTTGGTGTCCGTGAATACATATGCGGACTTTTATGCCAAACACATCTTTGGATTTTCATGATATATTTATTTATGACAATGGAAGGGGCAATGGGGCTGAGGGTATTATGCGCATTTTACTCTCACTCTCGTCTCTATTTCTATTGCATCAGATGTAAACATACAAAACCTGCGGTGACCACGACAAGCATTTATGCGAGGCAACTATTTTGCATATGTTTTGAGGAGACTATCTTGATATGCTTAATGAAAGTAAAAGGCTAAACTATAATAATGGTCATCCGACTATTCTTAAGAAATCAACTTCATCATTCGACTTTTCATTTCTCCCAAATGTTCGCACGATAATTTATTTTGTAGCAAAACGGTCACCTGGCTAAGCCAGGGTTAGACTGCTCGGTTAACTGACATGCTGGACTGACTAAGATCGTTTGCCATTACTGGAAAGTTAGAGCTCTGACTATAAGTTAAATATCTAAGTCATATAAAGATAGGTGTAGAACTACTAAGTTAGACATTTATGTCATATGAAGTTAGAATTAGACGTCGTAACTCTTCTCATCTACATGGATTGCACTTGCTATATGTGAAGTTAGATGTATGAATGAAGAAAAACAGAAGTTAGAAGTGCAGTTGTAGATAATGACATGGAAGGGAGTAAATCTTGAATTTACCATACACGATTCTGCTTTAAGCTTTCTTGGTCAAGGCGGGCTTATAAGGCAGACAGAGAACTAGAACCTCAGTGCTTGTAGAAAACGACAAGAGCCTCCAGGACTTGCAGCAAACAACATGAGTTTTTAGCTTTCTCAATTTGAGCTTTGAACGACAATGTGAAATAGAGAATCTTCAAGTGCTCTTCATCCTCTGCTTTGCTTGTGGGCAGTATAGTGTCTATGCTTTATTAATGTAAAGTAGTGGTGTATTGTTTGCTGGTGGTTGTGAAATTTATTTCTTTTGCGAGGGACCACCGACCTTGTAGAAATGAGAGATGAATATGTTGTCTGATTCTCTATATATTTTATTGTTGTCTGATAATATATATCCATCTACTTTGCTAACTAATTTTAATAATATAACTTATGGTGATAGAGGAAGAAAGGGAATATTAGAATGTGGCCACCATAGTGAGGAATAGTATGGTGAGGAAGATGAATATGGCCTACAAAACCAGGACGAGTGTGGAAGTACACTCGGCACACGTGGTTGAACAAGGTTGTGAGATACTACATTTGGTATTGGATGGCACACAAGTACCATAGGGATGAAAGAGATCATTTTGTTGAAAGTAATCCGATCAGTGACTATGAATATCTTCAGCAAATGATAGAAGATGCTGGGAGTAGGGTTTATAGAAATACTTTTATAAGTGGTCAAGCTATTGTAGAAAGCCACAATTTGGAGATATATGAATCTGAATATGAAGATTCAAGTAAGTTGCGGAATTTACATGACTCTAATGATGAAAGGGATAGTGGCATGCTACCAAGATTACCTGAGTTCCATAGCAAAACTGATTTGCATGACCCAAAGTTTTCTGTTGGTTTAAAATTTGGTAGTAACGAAGAGTTCAAGAAAGCCGTGGAAGAGTATGCCATTAAGCATAGTTCTAGTATAAAGTTTACTAACAATGACAAACTTAGAGTTATTGCAACGTGTAAAGATAATTATAAATGAAGGTTGCATACTAGATGTAAAGGATGGGGATCAGATTTTTTTTGTGTTTTCAGTCCACACAATTTTGCTGAGGGAAACAAGAACAGAAATTTCACTAGGATGTGGTTAGCTAACAAGTACGAGAAAAAATACTTGTCCACTCCCAATTGGCCTTTGCAAGCACTAATTGATCGAGTAAGCCATTTGTATTTAGTAAGAATTTCAAGGCGTGAGGTTTGTAGAGTTAAAGCAATTGCGTTAGACATAATCATGGGGTCTCAAGAAGAGTAGCATAGAGAAATTTTGTATTAGTTAAAACAAAAAACAATTCCAAAATTAGAGCACGATATTTTATTTTTGAAATTTTGAGTTCCAATTCATTGCCACATGTCATACACGTGGCACCCACGTGTTATCTGACATGGCAATTAACTCATCTAACTAACGCTACTTTAGCTAGGTGACCATTTTGATGTAAAATGTATTTTTGGGTGACCCCTTGAAACAAATCAAAGTTGGGTGATGAATTTACCTTTTTAAGAATAATTGGGTCAGTATAGTTTAGCGAAAGCAAAAAATAACCTTTGTTAGTTTTCCGGTTGAATAAAATAAAACTTTTTTAGTTGTCTCCTTGTTAAAATTATAATTAAAAGGAACTATTTTAGTTCTGAATTGAATAAAGCAGTCGAAGCACTCTTCCTAAAATAATTAATGTTGCTTCAGATAAATTTGGATGTTTACGAGACCCACATTTTCTGTTCACCGTCCTCAATCGCTGCTTAGCTCTCACATTACGATCTCTGTTTTTAAAATATTATATTTAAATTGTACCGCCTATAACTTTACATTGAACTTCAGAAGAAGGGAAAAAAAAAATGGAAAAATGGTACCAGCCATAAAAAATTATTAAGCAAAAGAGCGAGGGTCCAGCGCATCATTTCTACATCTTGGTCCACCATTTTGGCAATTGCGTTCTTCCTCTCCGCCATCGCTGACAAAAACCAGATGATCACCATCTCTAATCAGCTCTATGTGGTCAACCTGTGCTCCAGCTTTATTTAGAATTTTTGGCGGAAAAATCCCAAATTTTCTAACACCAATGTCAAGCAACTCTTGGAAGGTTTGTGGAAGCATCACAAGCCATCCCCTGACATCACCCTTTTCGGGGCAACCAACTGTCACTCTAGCAGGATACTCCCCCACTGCCTCACCACACTTGGTCTCATTTACAGATGACAGCAAGTCATGGTCTCCGCCATGGGTAGCTGACAGGATCCCAAACAACGAATTGTGAAAATCATTATCTCTACGCCCTGGACGAGATTGACCCACTGACCTTTCTGTGACTATCGATATGCCTTCCTCCGGGACATGGGGCGAATTGCTGATTCATTTGCAAATCCCTCAGAGAAGTGAACTTCACGTCGCTGTTGGGGGATTTCGGTCTCTTTGGTTGATTGGAAAAGGATTTTTATATCTTCATGTCCCTGTTGCTCTGCTAGATCTCTCGGGGTCCAGCCATGGTTGTCTGTTTTGTCCATGTCCGCTCCATTGTCCAATAGGAACTTCACTATCTCAGTGTTTCCTTCACAAACTGCAACATGAAGAGCAGTGCATCCGTTGCTTTTGGGATGCGTAACGTCTCCTCCGTAACGAACAAGTTCCTCTAGCAACTCCAAGCTGTTCTGCTCAGCTGCAGTGCAAGCAAATTGACCCACATCGCCTGAGGTTATGGTAGCTCCATTATCTGTCAGCAGCTTGATAATTGGTTCATGATTTGCCCTTATGGCCTCCCATAGTGGTACGTTTCCCTCTGAATCTGTAAGCATGTATAAGCGGTTGGCTCTTAGCATAAATCTTTCCCCAGGCAATACCTATATAAATAAACATGTACTGTATGCATTTTCACTTGTACTGTATAGAAGTCCAGAATTTTTAAGGCGTGTGGGATAAGTGCTACAAATAAGTGAAGCAATTGTACAGAAATTTGTAGATTTGGTGGGTGCAAACATAAAACTACCGGGTGCAATTGTACAAATTATATCATTATTATATAATATCATTGGGGACAGTGGACTCCACTATTCCCGTTGTAGATCCGCTCCTATTTTCAGAAAAAAGTTGTGGATTATGGCGGCAATTTGTGCTTAGCCAAACACAAAGCGTAAAGAATATATCGTTACATGAGCTTAGTCCAGAGAAGAAAATACGGTTTGTTAATGGTAGAGATAAACCTAGCTTTCATCAGAGGAAGGGCAAAACCTAAGAGCATGAATAATGCAAAGCGAATAAGATACAAAATTTCATTAAATGAAGAGGATAAGTTAAATGAAAGAGAGCCTAAATGAGAGTTCACAGCCAATAGATGACTATAGGTTTATATCTGACACAGAGAAAGCAAACTAAAAAACTACAGATTATGCAAGGGTTGACTCTGATGAAGATAAGGTTGAAGTATATAATTATACACTCCACGCAGGATGGACTAAAGAAAGATACAATGTCTAAGTGTGGCAAGATACACCAACTAATGCAAAGAGTTAGTACCTTACGCCCAAACCATTCAGAAAGAATATCATTTTAAGAAAGTCAATGGATGAAACAAGTTGTTGATCTGCACCTTATACTTCAACATAATTTTTTAAAATTTCACTTATGAATGTGTCAGAACACAGCAAGAGGCAACTCCCTCTGGGAATAATTATAAAAAATTAAAGGGTCAACTACTAAATTATTGTTATCATTATATTAAGACAGTTTATGGATAAAGATGACCAGATCGCCACAACCATTGACTCCCATAGATAATGGACCCTGGTTGTAATGCCCATAAAAATAATGCAAGAGCTCATGCTGAATTGAGCATACCTAAGTCAACAGAAGATCTAAAATTGAGTTCTGTAGGAGTTTTATTGGCAAAAATAGAAAGGCAAACTGACACGCTATATTCAGAAAGTAGCATAACATACACAAAGAAGATGTTCAGCAAACAAAGTGGGAGGGGAAAAAAAAAAGAAAAAGGAATACTGTCATCGTTGACGCTACTAGTGTTGATGCAAATATGGCTTCTTGTATTTTATTGAGTTTGGAAAGTGGGAGTAAAGCATGACATGATATTATAATCTCATTATGTTAGTTATATTAAAAGTGGTTTCATATCCCAAAATGTCAATATATTTGAACCTTTGTCAAGCTATTTTTGAGTTATTCAAACAAAACCATCCTATATATACAAGATAATAAAAATTCTTGAATAGAATGCATTTACGCAAATGAGATTTAACTGCAAAAATATTTGAGGGCCAAAAGTCATAAATGCCAGAATACATAACTGTTAGAGATAAAAGAAGGCTGCTAAGAGAATAAGCAAATTAGATCATGGAAAATCAAAATACTTTACTTCTGCTGTACCGACAGAATTTAATATGCTGACTGATTTTGCGAAGTTTAAGAAAATACCTCTACTGTTGGGGTCTGCTCGATAATCCAGTAGTAGAAGCACACAATTCTCACTTCCTCTGCAAGCTGCTATATGCTGATTTAACATAGAAGATGGTAGATCAAAGATAAATTCATTGATAGAAAACGACTGTAGAAGCAAGTTGAAAGTCAGCAACATGAACAAACCAATGCAGTCCGCCCGCTATTGTCTGATTCATTTGGGTCTAGACCCCGTCTCAACAATTGATGTAACAAGAAGTCATCTCCCTAAGTGTAGCAAAGCATAGGCTGAGAGGTAGGTCCATTCTACCACAAGCAAGCATGTTTTCTGTCTCCAGCAAGACTTCCTCCATCACTAGATCCTTCATTTCTTTCAAATGCTGCATACATAATCAAAACATATATTTAAACCATTCTTAAACAGGTTTAATTTTAGTCCATTTCATCAAAGTGATACTTGGATGTGTCAGATTAACAGACCTGCAAGAGATTATTCATGATTATAGTTCCGTCTCCAACATTGGATTGAACAATATTCAAGAACGTGGCACGGTTCATTCTTAATAGCTGGGTCAATCGTCTAGTTCGTACTGTAAAGAGCTGTGGCCTATAACACAGGACACCGATCTCACCACAAAGGTCACCAGTTTTACCTTCTCCAACAACCTGCAATCATTTAATATACTTAATGCCCAGTATTTATCTTTTGTCAAGGAATCATCTGATTTAACAAACTGCTATGGAAGTTTTTAACTTCAACATTTGAACTTGCCTGCTCAGCTCCATTTCTAAGGACTAGCACATCCTGTGAAGTAACAAAAGATTGTAAATTAATAATGCCTAAAATTGAAGAAAGAACTGTTATGTTTCATAACAAAAGTCTATAGAAATATGTATATGGGTAAATTAGGAATATATCACATAGGAATATTCTTATTTATTTCATTTATTTTCTTTTCTTATTTGTATATCCCTCAGTATTATAAATACAGATTTAGAGAACAATATTTACATATTGACTCAATTACACACTTTAGGTTTTCTTATGATCCTCTCTCTTTCTCAACATGGTATCCGAGCTAGTGACCCTAATTTAAAAAAAAAAAAAAATTCAGAAAACCCTAGTCCTAAGAAAGTCGTGTTTTCTCCTCCAATGATCTACTCCGATCACTTCCTCCTCCGGCGTTCTACTCTAATCGACTACCTTCTATTGTTGATCTTGTCGAAGTGTCTATCGTCCTTGCCAAAGCAGGTCGTCGCCCTCACCGGAAGTTTTCGCAACGCATTCTAGTGTTCTTGTCTATCGCCTTTGATAGATCTCATTGCCATCTCATTGCCATCTCACTCGCCAAAGGCTATCGCAATCCTAAATGAGGTGCCCTTGCTTGAACAAGCCATGTCTGTCATCCTCGCTAGGTTTGGTCAACTGGTTCTAATAGATCTTGGCAAACTTGCAGTCGTCAGAGGCTATCGCAACCCTAGACCGAGGTCGACTATACTAGAACAAGCCCTATTTGTCATCCTTGCTAGGTCTTGTAGCCTCCATAGTGCCATACATTGACTGTGTCCTCGTTGAACTTGTCTAACAATATTTTGATCTTCGAGTATCGGATGATGGTGTTGTCGGGAAATTTGCTCTTGGCAAATTTCACGTAGGCTTTGATCTTGCAATAGTAGGTTGTGGAGCTCAGGTTGGTCTGCTCCAGGTGATAGGTTGCGATCCATGGGCAGTGCTGTTTCTTGATGGATGCAAAGGATGCTCTGAAATAGGTGAGTTCTACCAGACAGGTGACCGGAATACGAATTCGACCTGTTTTCTATCAGGGCCTAGTATTCTGTTGCATAGAATAATATGCGGACATTTCCGATGGAGTTTATCAGACATTGGGGTTTGTAGATGATGATGTATCGGTCAATTATTATTGATCGACCGACAAATTTCTTTACTGTTCCGATAAACAGAATAGTTAGATGGAGTTTCTGGGATTTCGATTGGACTTGTCCCTGTATGATTCCAGTCTTGAAGTCGTTGGTGTTGATGTCCTAATCTCCGTCCATATCTAGAAGTCTTCTTCTTCCTCCTCTACATCTGATTTGTATGAATAAGGGGTTCGTTATTTATCAGCGATGAGTGGCATTCTTGTAAATAAGGAGATCCCTCCACAAAGGGAGCTCCCTCTAAAAGTCCTAGATACTTGGAGGGACTTATATATTCCCTCTCCTTAGGGGGGGAGGGGGCGTATATAACAATATGACTTCCCCCCCCCCCCCCCAGCCATGTGTACAGTGGATATTTTGCCACGTGTATGGCTGGGATCACTTGTTGGGGCTGAAATTTGAACTTCCCTCTAGGCATCACAGGCACGATTTTTTTTTTGGGCTGCCACTTTTCTAGGCCACTTGTTGGGCTCCGCTCTTCTACGAAGTTCCATAGGGCCCATGCTTCTACTTTTCACTTTGCGGCTGTGTGTCAAGTTGCTATTAGAGGTGTGTCAGGGAGACTTACTGCACGATTTTTTTTTTGGGCTGCCACTTTTCTAGGCCACTTGTTGGGCTCCGCTCTTCTACGAAGTTCCATGGGGCCCATGCTTCTGCTTTTCACTTTGCAGCTGTGTGTCAAGTTGCTATTAGAGGTGTGTCAGGGAGACTTACTGGAGAAGCAACCGGTGTTTTCCCGCTAATTTGGTGTGGGGCCCCCATGGTTCACTTGCAGCAAGTGCTGGCTTGCTGCTGGGGTAAAGTTTGACCATCTCCGTCTCTTCAAAATAAAAATTTATTTTTATTTTGATAATTTGTATAAATAGTTATTACTATTGGCCGGGTTTTTGTTCGTCCGTTATTTTGGGAGTGGAAATGAGGCCTCTATCATCAACGAGGAAGAAGCAGTCATGGTCAGAGATACATTAGTCTCCGTATACTTCCCTTATTCAATGACAACTATCACTGAGAGCTTCAACTCCTTGCACTCTGGTAAAAAGATTTAATAGGGCACAGTACAGTCGAGCGTATGACGGTATATTCAAGAACTCTGGGACGTTTGATGATTATATCAGTGATCCTTAGGACGGTGTGGTCCCCACTACAAAGGTTTGGTCCAAGTATATAAATCTGCCAACACTTGATAATGCAACGAAGAACATCATGGTCATGCGATCAACATTTGGTCCTTCTATTTGATGAGGACGTTCTGTTTGGATCCCATTGACAAACATGCCTAAAGCGGTTACATTGGCATTTACATGGTTCTTGACAGAGAGCCAAATGGTAGCAGCAACCTACCGTTTTTTTGACATATTTGACTTGAGGGGGTTGAAGGTTGGGTAGACAATGGAGACGGATGCTCCATCAGGCGCAATTCTGAGCAAGACAGCTATGATGGTGTGTCAGGAATACTTGGCGCGCTACGAGGTTATTGGTCGAGAAGTGTTGGCCGTCAATTGGCCTTTTTAGCAGCTATGGCAATCACCACGTCATTCCTTTCCAGAAGTTCTATCCTTTCAAGGGGCGTAGAAATAGGTAGTACGTAAATTTTAGGGATGACCCCAGTTGTATAGATGGGTCCTATTTGAATTGTAAGAGGAACTCCCTATTGATATACGTTGTGTACGAGTCCGATGTAGCATCCTGTAAGTTGAAGTGGCAGCTTCGCAACAGAATAAAATATTATCATTGATTGTAACAATGGGTTTGGGCTTTTACCCAAACCCCTGGACACTAATAAAGTTTAATTTGTTTGTTGTTAACCTAATTCCCTATGAATGAGGTCCGTACAATGGTTCCATTTCAATTAATTTTCCATTAACAAACATTAAAGGAGGACGATATTGGAGATAAAACGCAATTTGTTAATAAACAAGTTAGAAAACATGTATCAACATAATTAATTGAAATAGAACCGCTACGCGAACCTCATTCATAGGGAATTAGGTTAACGGCAAACAAATTAAACTTTATTAGTGCATAGGGGTTTAGGTAAAAGCCCAAACCCATCGTTACAATCAATGATAATACTTTAGTCTGCTGCGAAGTTGTGCACTCACACAGTGAGGCTTTATCACATCCTAAATTGCGACAAGCTGTGATAGATGAAGTGGCAGCCTTACATTTTAGTGGTACTTGGGAACTAGTTCCCTTCCTGGGCAAATCCACAGTTAGGTGTCGATGGGTTTATACTATAAAGGTTGGACTAGACATGAAGATTGATCACTTAAAAGCCCGTCTAGTGGCAAAAGGTTATACTCAGATTTATAGCTTGGATAATGGCAATACATTCTCTCCTGTCACCAAAATTGCTACTATTTGTCTTCTCCTTTCCATGGCTACAATGCATCATTGGCCTCTTTTCCAACTTGATATCAAGAATACTTTCTTACATGGTGAGCTTGCAGAAGAAATCTACATAAAGTAACCTCCTGAATTGGTTACCCAAGGGAAGTCTGGCTTAGCATGTCGCCTACGCCGATCAATCTATGGCCTAAAAATAGTCTCCACGAGTATGATTTGAGTGATTCAGTTCAATAGTTCAGCAATTTGGCATGATTCGCAATGAGGCAAATCATTCTATTTTTTATCACCAATCTTCACACCATAAATGATATTGTTATTACAAGAGATGATAAAGAAGGTATCAATCAATTAAAACATCTCGTGTCATTTTCAGATCAAAAATTTGGGTCAATTTAAATATTTCCTTGGTATTGAAGTGGCTTAGTCATTAACTAGTACCGTTGTTCCTCAGCGAAAGTCTACTCTTTATATCTTAGAGGAGACTGGCTTTACAGATTATCAACCTGTAGACACTTTTATAAATCCAAACATCAAACTCTTACCAGGACAGGGAAAATCTTTATCGAATCCTAGACGATATTAGAGACTTGTTGGAAAATTGAACTACTTTACCATCACTAGACCAGACATTTCCTTTATTAAAAGTGTAGTCGGTCAGTTTTTACAATCTCCATGCGATAGTTATTAGAATGCTACAATCCGAATATTTAGATATATCAAAGAGGCACCAGGCCAAGGACTTCTCTATGAAGAAAAAGATTATTCTCAAATCATTAGCTACTCAGACACAAATTGGGCCGGATCGCCCTCAAAGAGGTGATCAACTTCAGGCTATTGTGTAATATTTTGAGGCAACTTGATTTCTTGGAAAAGTAAGAAACAGGATGTAGTTGTCAGGTCAAGTGCAGAAGTAGAATATCGTATAATTGCATTAGCAACATGTGAATTTATATGGCTTAAACAATTGCTCCAAGAATTGAAATTTGGAGATATTAAGCAAATGCAATTAATCTATGATAATCAAACTGCCTTGCACATTGCTTCTAATCTGGTATTTCATGAGAGGACCAAACACATAGAAGTGAACTGTCACTTCATCAGAGAAAAGATTCAATTTGGATGCATTGCTATTAGTTTTGTCAATTCTAATGATCAATTAGCAAATATAATTACTAAGTTTCTCGAGGGATCTCGGATTACACATATATGTAACAAGCTTGGTGCATATGACTTGTATGATCCAGATTGAGTGGAAGTGTAGAAATATGTATATGGGTAGATTATGAATTTATCGCATAAGAATATTCTCATTTATTTCATTTATTTTCTTTCCGTATTTGTATATCTCTTAATATTATAAATACAGATTCAAATGACAGCGTATACACACTGATTCAATAACACACTTTAGGGTTTCTTATGATCCTCTCTCTTTCTCAACAAAGTCTATAACTAGAGTCCAAATAAGTAGACTATTTTTGGGTGTGTGACAGTCAAGCAATAGATGTAATGCTTATTTAATTGAACATTAGACTATTATCAAAAGAAATGAGAAGTATAGTTACCACAGCCCCGGTAACAAGTATGTAGAAGTCCGTAGGTGCTTCATTCTGTAAAATCACATCTTCTTTTGGAGGAAAATACTCTGCTTTCATTTCTGAAACCTTCATGAAGTAGAATTCCGGTGTAAAAATTCATATCCGAGTAAAGCATTAGGTAATGGTGCTAGTTCTCAGAGTAATACCAACTGAAATAGCATGTCATTGGACACGCCTCGAAATAAGTACACCTTATCCAAGAGAGTGTAGAAGAGAAAATGTGAAATGCTTGATCGGATGGCTTTTGGAAGGGAATCAAGAGTCTCCTTCTGTTGCAGTCCCTCACAGTTTGTTCTGAACTTCAAAGACAAGTGTGCAAGCATCTGATCTCGCAAGCGAGCAGGCAACTGATTTCTCTTTGCAAAATTTGATGCAGCTTGGATGGTATTTCTCTGTTATTAAATGGCCAAACATAATAATATCATAATGAGCAATCAAAAAAGTGGCAATGCAAAGAAATGAAATAATATACATTACTTAATTATTAATTGTAAGAAAGGGTGTACTTACAAATTCTCTAGTTTTACTAGTACCATGGACAACCAAGTTAGTCATATTTCCTATCAGATATGCTGTTAGTCCAAGGTTGAAAAGCATGTAAATTATGTCAAAAATCATCTCCCTTGTATTTTCAGCATGCAAATCACCATATCCTACAGTTGTAAGAGTAGTGATAGACCAGTAAATTGATGTCACATAGCGGATCCATAAGCTTTGCTGAATGAAGTTATCCATGGAGGCTCCAATCCATGTCCTTTTTGGGTCATGATAACGTGCAGCAAGTAGATAGTAGAAGCATCCAGCACAATGAACAGCAAAAAGCGTGACCTGTAATAGAAACCAACACATTACCATACTATAAAGAAAGGCAAAAAAGGAAAAACTTTACCTTGACACACGAGTCTACTTCTCAAACAACTTACACAAATTAGCTTGGCAATTCTAATCCAGAAGTAGTTGAAGTTCCTGTCTTTCTCCAATCTGATTTAATAAAGAAAATGAAGATTGGAATCATAAGTTTTCAGGACTAGTGAAACACACCTAATATTCTCTACAATTATATGATCATAATGAAGGAGAACTATGTACCTGGAAAATAAGGCACTCACTCTACGAAGACGCCACAGACGAAGCATGTTGAATAAACCATATGACTGAAATGGTCCAGAGAAAATCTTCGCAGCAAGCTCAGAGGGGATTGTGGATATGATATCAAAGGCCAACCAAGAGGTTGCATATTTGTAAGCAATCTTCTTCCGGTTGTCAACAAAAAGATAGGTAGTTTTATCAAGGTAAGCAACAAAGAATGTGAGGATGATGTCAATGGCAAAAAAGCAATTAACAATGTTATCAGTAATGGTGAGTGGCCACTTTGGTCTTTCCAGTAAACCAAATTCGAATGGAGATACCCAAGCAGTATAGAGAACCAAAATAACCAGAAAAGTCTCCCAAACTCTGCCAAAATTAGTTTAAATTAGCCAATTCTATCATTACTCGAAGTATTAGAATTTAGAAACCACTAACATCCACCATATCAATACATACTTCTAAAAAGTGTATGAATCGGATGCCAATTTGTAACTGCAGAAGAGATTTATCAAAAAGTGTATTATTATTTATTATTATTATTATTATTATTATTATTATTATTAAAATGGAAAATTCTATTTTTGATTCATCAAACATACTTGGTCTATGATGCTACAGAAAGTATAAAACTAGCGTAAACAAATTGGGAACTGGAACAGGTAGAACTTTTAACACTGAGGACAACGCAGATGAGTCCTAAAAAAGGAAGAACGAGAATGTCATTTAAATATTTCTAGACTTGGGGCTGGCATAATTGGGTTCAGCCAACCAAGTCAAAACAAACAGTGAAAGGACAGAAATGCTTGATCTATACTGTTGAAAGTGTAAAGGGTCTTCAAACATCTAAAAGGCAGAATCTGTTTTATTGTTATTATCTCTGACGACATATGCATATTCAGTATATCTAAACCTTGGCAGCAACCACTCATACATCGGTTTGAAAAAAGATATAACTCCCAGAATAATCAAGACGCTTAAAACGAAAGCATACCTGTCTAAAGAACAAAGTTATAAACGGGAGCAACACAGAATCAATATTTCTCTGATAAGAAGAGTATACAAGAATCGGCTTAGTTTCTTTTGCAGATACATACAAATGTGTAAATAAAATAAGTTGTAACTTGTAAGTAATAAACAAACAAATAATTGCATATTAAAGAAAAAACAGAACAGGGGGGACATAGCAATCATAGAAGAGCGAGAGAGAGAGAGAGGGAGAGAGAGAGAGAGGGAGAGGGAGAGGTATCAAAATTAAATTAACTATGTTCTATCATCAAATAACAAACATCTCTAAAGCACTAAATCCTATCCCAACATTTTCCCAGAAATTCACATAACACACATGAAATCGTCATATATATACACATATGGAGAAAAGATCAGAGTATAAGCAGAAATTCAGAACCTGTAGCGGCGATCGTAGGGGGAAATGATGAAGTTGCGAAGCTTAATATTGCGGTTGCTTCTGGCACCCAGAGATGGAAGAATCCCAGTGGAGAAACTGTAGTGGCTTCCATCCCTTGACAGTTGTTCAATCTCTAGTTCGGCAGCTGCAGGGCCGCCGCACATTGACTCCCTGAACAGATTTACCTTACTCATCATGTTGCTCTCCTTACCCAAACTCCCTTCTTCGCAGAGAGCGTAGAGCTCTCCCTGTCAGCCGTTTACCGTTTTTAGTCTGTCACTGTTTCTCTCCCTTCCCCCTTTCTTTGCTTTTCTATTTTCTTTAATTGAATCTATTTACACATCCGCCACCTAAGGGGCGCGTCGAGGATACTTGGACCCGAGGTAAAAATTAGGAGTGTGTGTGTGTGTGTATTCAGTTTACATATTTATTTTTTTTCAAATTAAACAAATCTGACTTTCTCGCATATACATTGGTCTACAGTTATTAAAGAGTATCAGTCTTTCATAGAAAGTTTTGAAAAGTCGTATAATTCGAGCTTTTAAGGGTCTTTTTTATATTAATATTTATTTTTATTTAATATTATTAAAATGTGATATTTTAAGAAATTTTCCAAAGTGTGATGATTTTGGCAAGTACTTTCTCATAATTATTATTTTGATTATTTTGCTTTTTAAAAACAATAAGGGAAGTCATCAATTTTGTCATAACCGGCTTCCTTGGAAATTTAATTCTCACGGAATTAACCTTTACACCCAGTTCGTCCATTTCTGAAATGGTTCAAGTCTGCCAGCTTGGGTTCCATTTTAGACCCGCAGTGTGTCGTCTAACAAATTCTCAATATACCTTTTTATATTTTATTTTTTTACAAATTATATTTTATGTTCAATTTTTTTCCTCTTTGAAAAGGTTTTATTTTATTTAATGAATCCATAAATTATATTTTATATTTTAAATTTTTTAACTCCTTGAGAAGTCAATTTTACTAAAACGATTTCTCAAAGGGTATTATTATTTAACTTATATTTTATTTTACTTTTAATTTAAATTTATTTATATATTAATTTTTTTACTCCTAGAATCAACTTCGCAAGATTTTTTTATTTTAAATTTCATTTATATTCTATTATTGTTATTTTATATTTAAATTTTTTTACTTATTGAGAAATTGATTTCTAAAATTTAATATTTTATTTTATTTTTAATTCATCTATAAATTATATTTTATATTTTAATTTTTTTTACTCGTAGAATTGACTTCTCAAAATTTTTAGTTTATTTTAAATTTTTAAATAATTATAAGTCATATTTTCTCTTTTAATTTTTTAGTCCTTGAGAAGTAGGCTCCAGCGGCTCTGACTTCTCAAGGGTTATTTTTATTTTGAATTTATTTTTTATAATTTATATTTTTTTCCCTCCTTAAATCTAATTTATTTATAAATTACATTTTACATGTGAGAGAAATTAAAACTTGTCAAGCGAGATTTAAACTGAGAACCCGCTTCTCAAAATTGAGAAACATGTAAAATACAGTCTATAAATAAATTAAAGAAAAATAAAATATCAACCTCTCAAGGAAAAAATTAAAATATAAAACATAACTTGCAGATAATTAAATTCAAAGCATGAAACGCCACTTGAGATGAGAAGTCGGTCCACTGGAACTGACATCTTAAAGAGTTTTTTTAAAAAATCAAATATAAAATATGATTTATAAATAAAAATATAAAATCAAATATAAACCTTGAGAAGTCACTTCTAGGGGTGAAAAAATTTAAATTGTAAAAAAATATAATTAAAGAATAACCTTTGAGAATCTATTTTGGCTGGAATTGAGTTCTCGAAGGGTTAAAAAATTGAAATATAAAATATAATTGATAGATAAAGTAAATTAAATTAAAATAAATTAAATTAAAAACTTTGAGAAGTTGACTTTCAAGGAGTAAAAAAAAAAAAATTATAATATAAAATATAATTTATAAACAAAATAAAAGATAAAATAAAAACCTTAAGAAAATGGTTTCTCTAGGACTGGCTTCTCAAAGAGTTTAAAAAATTCAAAATATAGAGCATTATTTATAAATAAATTCAATTAAAAATATAAATAAAATATAAATTAGAACCCGTGAGAAGTTGATTCCGTTGGAATAAACTTCTCAAGGGGCAAAAAAAAATTGAAATATAAATTAATGAAATTAAAAATAATAAATAAAAGATAAATAAAGACTTTTTCAAAGAGGGAAAAATATATAATATAAAATATTAATTTATAAATTGAAAATAAAAAATAAAAAGGTATATTTAGAAGTCAGATTTGTTCATTCGAAGACTTGTCGTGGGGTTGAACTGGAACCCAAGCTGTCAGGCCTAAACCATGTTTGGGAAATGGGTGAATCGGAAGTGAGTGTGGAAGGCGATGCAGTGGATTTGACTTCTCCTTTATTTTTTTTTTTAAATAATAAAAAATAATAATTATTGGGTAGTGGATTCTAGTGGAACTGATTTCTCCATACTTGCCAGAATGATCACGTTTTGGTTTTTTTTTTTTAAAAAAAAAAAAAAAATCACATTTCAGTTAAATAAATAAAAAGAATCAATATTAATACAAGAAAGCCACTTTTTAGCGTGATCAAAATATTTTAATATTAAACAAGATAGATAAATTATATATTTAGGTAAAAAATCTGAAATTCTTAGTTAGCCAAATGCGTTTTGTTTAGGTATTATTTAATCTAAATTCTTTCTAATAGTTTGTTAAAAAATAAAAATTTAACAACTAAAGGCATTTAAGAGGACATGGCACTTAAATCCGAGTTCTGTTTATTAACTTATCCATATTTTATTTAATTAAGTTCAATTAGTTCACAAGGAGCTTCTCAGGGTCCAAATTGCCATTCTAGGCTCAATGTGCATAAAACTTGACAACACGCCTTCTTTTCAACAAACGGAAAATGTCAGAGAAGATGGTACTTGAATCTGAGTCCAAGTTTTGAATTTATGCAAGTTTATGATTCAAATAAATTTAATTAGTTATCAACTTCACAAAAGGCCTCTCAAGGGCCTGTAATGGCTAGTCATGGCCTAATGTGCATGAAACATGACACACACCTTTTTCTAAGCACAAATGAAGTGTTGGAAAAGACAACTCTTAAATCTCAGTTTTAGTTCTCAACTTATGCACATTTATAGTTAATTAAAATCAATTAATTCATAAACAATCTCTCAAGGTTCAAAATGGCTATTCTTAGCTTGATATACATGAAACCTGGCATACACCTTCTTCCAAATACAAGGGAACTGTTAGAAAACACCACACTAGAATCTGACTCTCAGTTCTCAACTGACACGTTGATTGTTCAACTATGTTCCATTAGTTAACAACTTCCTAGTGGGCTTTTTAGCGACCAAAATGACCATTCTCAGCCGATCTGCATGAAACTTGACATCCACCTTCTTCTCAATATAAGTGATTTGATAGAAATGACAATGCTTGAATATGAGTCCTAACTTCCAAATTAGACACATTTATAGTTGAATTAAGTTCAATTAGTTCACAACTTTACAAAATGCCCTTTGGGGGCCAAAATGAGAGAGAACTTAATAAGAGTGCAAGTGGTAGAGAAGACAACACTTACTTCCAAGCCTCGGTTCTCGGCTTGTGCACATTTATAGTTAGTTAAGTTCAATTAGTTAACAATTTATTCATACATGGCCTCGTGGGTGTTAAAATAGTGCCTTAAATCCAATTCATTTTGGTTTCAATTTTTATATTATTTAGTTGTATAAGCAGTCTCATCATCATGTATTTAACCTATTTATGTGGATGAAGAGCTAAGATCACATAAGACTACAAGTTTAGGTCACACATAAGATTGTGATCATGAAATTAGTCTCTATGCTCTTGATCTAAAATAAGTTTAGGGTTGGAGAATCTATTAAGATAAGGTATTGATAACATCAAGTAAGACTCACAACTGTGTTTCATGCTCATCAGATGAGTGCATTTCAATTCATTGGTGTTGGTATATTGACACTAATGTACATGTGTGGGTGTTTGTTAGAGTATTAGTTCATTGAACAACTCCTTCTAAAGAAATCCATCAGAGTTGGTGATGAATATTTTTCATGTTTATGCTAGTGAACTATGTGATTCATGGACTTAAGGTTCCATAGTAACCTTGCATACGAAAGCTTATGTTTGATGCATTTCCTACAACCGGGTTTACCCATTAAGGAGGTGTCAAATAGTTTTGCATTGAGCATAAGTTGTTTATGCATGAAGATTGGTGAGAACCAAGATAGGATCATTAACCATCTTAAGGAGTTGAAGAATCTCCCAAGTTGTCTATAAGTTGTTGGTTTATTAATGTCCTTGTAAGGCAAATGATAAGTAATTAAAAAAAAACAAAAATAAAAAAGCTTTTTAGATTGGTCATGTTGTTGACAAGCTCAATTAAAACATAGCATTAAGACCGCAGGGATGCTAGCAAAATTTTACATCCTAGGTCCTAATTAGGATATGCTACTAGAAGGACTGTACCTGTATAGTAAACTATAAATAGTTTTGGTTCACTGGAATTACCTTCACCTATTACTGGATGTTCAATTGCTCATTGCTAGACGTCAACCTCAAACTAGTGGTATTCTTGATGTCACACCCCGGCCTCTCTATCCTTAAGAGGCATGACAGTAGAACAATAATCAACACATTACTAGGCACAATCTAGCAACACATCGGCTACTATAACCCCTTTTTAGCTGGTCTTAGGAGCCCTGTGTCTGAATACTTATTTATATAAACGACCTCACAATATACATATAACTTGTAATATCTCATCCAACACATAACTTATACATAATTCATCTTGTATCAACATTTCTAGCAAACATCCGATAATCATCTAACAAACATGTCATGCTCAAAAATTATCATATACCACATAACTAACTGTAAATCATCTAATAGATTCTCAAAACATTATAAACTTGTTTACAATTGTCCTAAAACATAAAATAGTCTGCCAATATATACATCCCATGTCTATAATACACAATCAAAACAAATCTTAAAACCTAGCCTAACCTAGTGCTATGAAGTGAGTAAAAACACAAGTGGTAAGGTCCTAACTAATTATCTTAGCATCTGTAGGGGGAAAAATAGTGGGGTGAGACGAACATCCTAATGAATGATTGTAACATTCCAAACTAAGTTTGGAATGTTTGAAATGCACATCATACACACTTAAATATGCACGGCATTATTTATTACATTCTCATGCATTGCATGCATTAAATTTAGTACATGCATATTT